CAAGGACTTTGAAAAAAACAGTGTGACAGTTTCTTAAATAGTTAAACATATTAGACTTAAAACTATAAAACCCTTAGGAAGAACACATAGGGCAAATTTTCATGGCATTGAATTTAGCATTGATTTCTTGGATATGACACCAAAGGTACAGGCAACAAAAGAAAAACAGATTGGATTTTATAAAAATTTAAAAATTTTGTGCATCAACAGACAATATCAACATCTCGAAAAGATGACCCACAGAATGAGTGAGAATATTTGCAAATCATAAATCTGCTAAGGGGTTCATGTCCAGAACGAACAGAGAACTCCTAAAACTCAACAAAAAAAAATCAAATTTTAAAATAGGCAAAGAATTTGAATAGACATTTTTCTAAAGAAGATAAACAAATGGCCAATAAGCACATAAAAAGATGCTCAAGATCACTAATCATTAGGGAAATGCAAATCAGGACTATAATGAGATACTGCCTTATACCCATTAGGATGGCTACTAGCAGAAAAAAAACCAAACAAACCAGAAAATGACAATTATTGCTGAGGACTTAGAGCAATTGGAACCCTTGTGCACTGCTGGTGGGAATGTAAATTAGTACAGCTGCTGCAGAAAGTGAATGGTGGTTCCTCAGAAAATTAAAAATAGTATTATATGATCCAGAAATTCCACTTGTGGGTATATACCCCAAAGAATTGGAAGTAGGGTCTCGAAGAGATATTTGTACACCCATGTACTTAGCAGCATTATTCACAATAGCTAAATTGTGGAAGCAGCCCAACTGTCCATCCATGGATAAGCAAAATGTGGTGTATATATATAGTGGAATATTTATTATTCAATCTTAAAAAGGAAGAAAATTCTTTTTTTAATTTTTTAAAAAAGATTTTGTGTATTTATTTGTCAGAGAGAGAGAGAGCACAAGCAGTCAGAGCGACAGGCAGAGGGAGAAGCAGGTTCCGGGCTGAGCAGGGAGCCCAAGGCAGGGCTTGATGCGGGGCTCAGTCCCAGGACTCAGGGATCATGACCTGAGCTGAAGGTAGATGCTTAATTGACTGACACACCCAGGCGCCCCCCAAAAAGAAAGGAAATTCTGACATAGGCTTCAACATGGATGCATCTTAAAGACATTATGCTAAGTGAACTAAGCTAGTCATTTAAAAAAATATGATTCTACTTATCTGAGGTACTTAGTCAAAATTATAGAGATAGAAGTAGAATGGTGGATGCCCTTCTACAGGGGAAGATGAAGAGTTCTTGTTTAATGGGGACAGGGTTTCAGTTTCAGAAGATGAAAGAGTGATGGGAATGAATGGTGGTGATGGTGGCACAAAATTATGAATGTATTTAATACCACTGAACTGGACACTTAAAAATGGTTAAGATGGTTGACTTTATGTTGTGTGTATTTTATGACAATAGAAAATTATAGAAGTACACACATAATACTTACATAAATAAATAAAAATAAAAATAAAAAGGTGAAACATACACTTACACCTCTGTGGGTCAGCCAGCCTACTCCTGGTTGCTCAATAAAAATGAAAGCTAGGGGCACCTGGGTGGCTCAGTTGTTAAGCGTCTGCCTTCGGCTCAGGTCATGATCTCAGGGTCCTGGGATCAAGACCCACATCAGGCTCCGTGCTCAGCGGGAGGCCTGCTTCTCCCTCCCTGTCCCCCTGCTTATGTTCCTTCTCTTGCTATGTCTTTATCTGTCAGGTGAATAAATAAAATCTTTTAAAAAATGATATTCAAAAAAATGAAAGCTAGTAAGTCATGGGACTATAACTACAGCACAGGGACTCTAGTTAATAATGCTGGATTGTATATTGGAAAGTTGCTAAGAGGGTAGATCTTAAAAGTTCTCATCATGGGAAAAAAAATTGTAACCATGTGTGGTGATGGAGGTTAATTAGAGTTGTGGTAGTCATTCTGTGATATATACAAATATTGAATAATTATGTTGTACACCTGAAACTGAAACTAAATAAGCCTATGTGTATGTTACAACTGGTATCTAAATGTCCATAGGAGTTTTATTTATTTTATTCAGGGCTAAAAAAAAAAAACAAGCCATCAAGCCAGAAAAAGACATGGAGGAAACCCAAATGCGCATTGCTAAGTGAAAGAAGTCAATCTGAAAAGGTTACACACTGTATGATTCCAATTCTGTGACATTCTGGAAAAGGCAAAATTATAGAGACAGGAAAAAGACCAGTGGTTATCAGGGTTTAGGATGAATAGCAGAGCAGAGTGGTTAGGGCAGTGAAAATACTCCACATGATACTATAATAATGGGTATCTGTCATTATGCATTTGTCCAAACCCATAGAATGTAAACATCAAGGGGCGCCTGGGTGGCTCAGTTGTTAAGCGTCTGCCTTCAGCTCAGGTCATGATTCCAGGTCCTGGGATGGAGCCCCGCATTGGGCTCCCTGCTCGGCAGGAAGCCTGCTTCTCCCTCTCCCACTCCTACTGCTTGTATTCCTCTCTCGCTGTATCTTTCTCTGTCAAATAAATAAATAAAATCTTAAAAAAAAAAAAGAATGTAAACATCAAGAGTAAACCCTAATGTAAACTATGGATTTTGAGTGATGATAATGTGTCAGTGTAGGTTCATCAACTGTAACAAATGTACCACTCTTGGGAGAATGTTGATAATGTCGGAAGTTGTGGGTATGTCGGGGCAGAGGTACATGGACACTCTCTACACCCCTCAATTTTGCTGTGAATGTAAAACTACTCTTAAAAAAAAGTGTTTAAACATCCTACACACACACACACACACACACACACACATCTGACCTGAAGGATGGCAGGTAAGGAATTAAGGACCAAGCAAAAGGCTAATTAAAAGAAATTCACAAGAAAAAAGAAGAAATCAAGTCTTAGAACAATAAATAAAATATGATTCTATTTATTGAAAGTTCAAAAGTACAAAATTATTGCAACTATAAAATAAAGGGGGGCAACAAATACAAGATCAGGGTTGTGGATGATTATCACGGGGAAGGAAGAGAATGTAATCAGAAGGGACCCACACTGTACTTCCAGGATAAAGGTATTATTCTATTTCTTCAACTGGGCAAGGGTACAAAACTGCATATTCTTCTATTATTCTTTAAACCTTCATATCTTTTATAAATATCTTTATCTACTCAATTAAAAACAAAGGAAAAATAAGCATCAGCCTGCTAGTGACAAGCCAGGTGCAGCTGGGAATGGTAACAGACATTAACCCATGGTGTTGGGATGGGGTGAAGTCAAGGACTTACCCCATCTCCCCGTGAGAATTCTGGGATGATCTTGATGGCAGAGCTAACTCAGTGAACTGGATTTCAGTCTTCATAAGCACATAGCAAGGCCGAAGGTTGCCTTTTTCTCCTACTCTAAATAGTTCATTGATCAGGCTTCAAGTGAGTAAAATTTCCCAGAGGCCCTAGTAGGAATTTAAGTGTGAAGAATACGATAGCTTCACCCCACATCTTCAGGGGCCTTCTTGCTTCTCATATTGAGATCTTGTGAGTTGATGCAGATGGTACAGAGAAGGGTCTCTATCCAGGTATGATAGTGTGGAACAGCAGTTAAAGAGAAGGGGTGGCATGAGAAGGGAAAGATTTTTGTGGTTGGTTTAGAAGCCCCTTGAAGACCTATCTAACCCTGAGACTCTGTTCTAGGGAGTGTTAGGAGTAGAGGTCCGTATAAACACATTTCATTTTCTTAATTTTGATTAGGTCTGGCCAAGAATTTTCTTCCTCTTCTGAGGCTGCTTGGTCTTTCACATCACGTCAGATGCAAGGCTTAGTGCCTCACTGACTCTCCCCACACCCATATTGAACCCCTGCTGGATTCCCTGGGGCCACCTGCACAAAAATATATGCCTCTCAGATAATGGAAAATTTATTCTAAATGCTTATTTTAGATTGAGAAATATCTGTTCTCTCATGCCCATGTTGCTAATATGTCTGCTCTGATCTGTGGTTTTTGCAGAGCTGAAGGGTCATGCTGGCCCTCCCTCTGCCTTCAAACAGGACTGCTTTCTCCCATTTCTGATGACTTGTTTCATCTCATGGTGGGTGTTATGATGGGGAGAGGAAGGGTAAGGAGTGTGGTCCCTGGGACAAGAGGCATGAGCCCTGCCATTAAGGAGGACTCGATCCAACAGCAAACATTCAGAGGCAAGGACAACGGTTCTCATAAGGCCGCCTGGAGCTGACGAGAGATGCTATAGCCTCCATATGGCTCTTATTCCTGAGTCTCCTTAGGTTTCTCCAGCTATCAGATGCCTCCTGTCTCTAATTTCCTCAGGATCAGTGGCTCAAGCTTTGGCCCTGAGCCTGAGCCCTGGGCTTACTGCTATGTCCTCTGGAAGTCAATTTTCTTCTTTCTTCTACTCTTTCCCAGGGGACTCTCTCTGCCTCATACTCAGATTTCCTCTGAGACTGAACAGCCTTAATCTTGCTGCAGAAACAGAGAGCTGAGACATGAGTCTAGAGAAATTTTCATACAAATTTGTGTGGGCTTTGGTTGGTTGGAGCCCACAAGGGACTAATCTGATATCTGATCAGGTGCCATTACCAATCCACTTCCCCCTTCGACAGTCTGGTCACTAGAAACATGGACGCCTTGGAACAGAATAGGGCAGGACGCGTGAATTCTCACTGTTGCTCTCCCAGTGACTCTCAAGCAATTCCCTGTCGCTTGTCCCCAGCTGCCTCATCAGTGAAATGAAGGGCTGTTGCACTGACCCTTCTCAGAGTGTCCTGAAGGCCAGAGGGATATCAGAAAATAATGTGCTTTGGAAGGTCTCTGAGCTCTATGGGGGAGTTCTTGAACAATTGAGAGTGTTACTATTTCACCCACCGTCCTAAGGATGTAGACGATGCTGGAGCCAACCTAGCCAAATCTGAATGATGAAAGCCAATCACAAAATTGAAAATAGGCCCCAGATGCAAGGAGGTGAGACAGTTAGATTTACTTCCTCTTTTCTAATTTGAGAGCTTTCATGTTGAAGAAAATCAGTGCATTAGAGGCTGCAGCAGACCTAAACACAGTCACCATGAAGTTGGGCTCTGTCCTCACGGCTGGGGTCCTCTACTTTTCTCCTATGATGCTCTGGGCAGTACAGATGCTACTGGGTAAGTGATATGTTTGAACATTGGTGTGGGAATGGAGATATACCTGACTTTGATCAATGGAAAGATACGTGGACTGACTTTGGCCCAAAGAAGCAATGTGCAGATAGGAAATGAAGGATCGAAATTAGAAAGTCTGGTGTGCAGGATTGAATGGCTCTTTCTGAATATAAAAATCTTCAAGCCTTATCCATTCTAAAAGTCCCCTTGACTGTGATGCCCTATTGAGCTACCATCTCAACTCTTTTCCTTCTTTTTATCACATTTCTTGAAAGAGTAGTTTGCACTTGCTTTCTCCACTTCCTCACTTCTCACTCATACTTCAGTGTTTCCAGTCTGGCTTCCACTGGAACCAGTTTTGCCCAGGGGGCAATGACTTCCATATGGACTGCACCATGGCCCACCTTTTAATTCTTCTGCTGCTGGACTTCTCTGCTGCATTGGGCAGTGTTGGTCACTTATACTTTCTCGGCATTCTCTGCTCGCCTGACTTCCATGTGCCGTTTTTTCCTTGCACTCCATGTACCTGTCTTTGTCCCTTCAGTGGCTTCTGTTCTCTTCCCCTTAAAGACTGGTGTTTTCTACTGTTGCATTCCTGCCTCCCTACCCTTCACTCTTTACAAAATTTCCTTAGTGAGTTCATTTATCTGTATCGTTTTTATCACTATGACTATCTACTTAAGAGTCCAAAGTCATATCTCCAACCCTAATTGTGCTTTTGAGTTTCACAGCCGAAGATCCAACTTTGCACAAGACATATCCACCTGCATGTTTCACAGGTATCTCAGCACAATATGACCAGAGCTGAACTCATCTGTCCTCCTAGCCCTTACCTCTCCTAATTTCATCTTTCACTGCGTCTGATCTCAATTCATGGCATCCACCTGGGCCTCCAGGCCAAAAACTTGGGAGAACACCTAGAGTCCTCCCTCTCCATCCTCTGCATATGATCAATCAGAAAGTTTGGCCAAATGTACTTTCTAAACTGTTCTTAGAGACAGTCCCTTCCTTGAAACAGAGCTAATAGTATGCTAGGAAAAGCTCTCATCATTGCGGACTTTGGATAGTCCAATAACTTCCTGACTAACCTCCATGTCTCAGCCTTGTGCCCTTGAAATGGATTCTGCGCTCTGCAGCCAATGCACACAAGGCCCACCATAGCCTATTTCCTATTTAACCTCTGCAGCCTCTGCTGTTAGCCTGTGAGCCCTGCATATTATGCTGTAATAAACCCCGACCTGCTTGTATTTATCCACTCACACGCCAGGTTATTACCTATCTTCAAGCTTCGCTCATACTGCTTACCTCTGCTTGAAATGAACTCTCTCCATGGCCCCTATTCCCTCTCACTCACAAACTTTTAGGCATCCCCTGGAGATTCTGCATAGGTGGCGTCTTCATCAGGGAAGCTTCTTTGACCCCTCCTTTCTGTCCTAATGGCTACCTGTCATATGTCTTTGTTATTACTTTCCTCCTCATGCTGATATAATCTCTTCATATGACTGTGCTGTCCACTACACTGCGTTATTTGTAGACAGGGACAATGCTTTTGTTTTTGTTTTTGTTTTTGTTTTTTAACCTTGTCAAATTTGTGTTTGAATTTTTAGCATCTGCATTGTTCCCTGCACAAAAATTTTGTTGAATCATTTTATTGAACTCATAGAAACAGGACTGGGTGACTGTATGAAGATACAGCACTGGTATTGTGGCAAGAACTCCAGACACTGGTTTTAAGCTGTTCTTCTTCTATTAACTAGCTCTATGTCACCTTGGAAAATTCACTTTTCATATCTCTAATTCCATTTTCTTTTTTTTTAAAAAGATTTTATTTATTTGAGAGAAAGAGAGAGCACATGTGCGCATGGGCACAAGTGGGGGGGCGGGGCAGAGGGAGAGGGAGAAGCTGACTTTCTGCTGTGCAGAGAGCCCAGGACCCTGGGATCATGACCTGAGCCGAAGGCAGATGCTTCACCAGCTGAGCCACCCAGGCACCCCTCTAATTCCATTTTCTTATTCATAAAATAAGACTAATACCTACCACATAATTTATTGAGTGAAAGTGCCTGGCAACCCACAAGTTCATGTTCTAAAAGGAATGGAGGCTGAGTCTAGTTGAATGATAGCAGAGGAACTGAAAAAGGTAGCAGCAGGGTGGTGAAGGGAGCTGAAGGAGGATTTAAAGAAAACACCTGGTACTGATGTAATGAGAATTGGGAAGTGGAAAGGGGCCTTGCTAGGGGAAGTTACAGGGTCAAAGAAGAGTTCTGGGTCTTTGGGAGTGGAAGGAAACAGAGGCAAGGAAGCCAGTAAAGAATGGAGAGAAGAATTGAGTGTATGTGAATGGCCATGGGACCAGAAGAAGGGGAGAGGGATTAAGGGACAAGAAGCAGTGATGAAAATGAGAAGAATGGAAATTAACCTTGCCTGAGTCAGTCATGGAGCTAGGAGATAGATTGAGGAGATACAATGAGAAATCCTTAACTCTAAGTTTTAACCTGGACGCAGAGAAAGAATTGTTCCATAGTTACCAGTACAGACTGGGAGCAGAGGTTTGGAGTGGAGAGAAGGACATAGGGAGGGCTCTACAGTTGCCATGGAAGGTTCAAGGGACAGAGGACATCAAGGCAGAGATGGCTGAAAAGTGAAGACCCGAAAGGAGGTAGCAAGGAAGGAGGAGACACCGCTAGGTACTGAAAGATAATTGGTAGATAATATATTCATGGATGAACAACCAAGGGAATTTTGAGAAAATGAAAATATGGAAGGAAACCCCCAAGGAAGGTCCAAGACCTACTGTTGATCAAATCTAAACAGTGAACACTGATTTTGGACCCAGACATACCTTTCTTTCTTGCTCCATTCCCTACTCCCTTTTGAAATTTTGGGTAAGTTGTCAAACTATCCTAAGCCTGTTGGGAGTGAAATCACATACCTAGAAATCTCATCAAGATTAAGTAAAATCATGTGTAAAAGTGCCTAGTGGTGTGTGGCTTACGATAAACACCCCCTGATGAGTGTTAAAATCTGATCATCTCCCTTTCCCTTGTGTCCTGTGTCTACCGGCTCTGGGGTCATCGTTGCCTTTGGTCTCTGGTTTCCTGCACCAGCAGCTGGATATCATGCTGGTGAGTTCACATTCTGCCATTCTCTCCCTGCCCTCTTCCCCATACCATGGTCCATTCACTGAGAGCACCTGAAAACCAGTGAATCAACTCAAAAGTATTGGGTCAAGAGACCCACATGGGTTTTGGCATATTCCCTTCTCACTCTAAAAGGGATGATTCCACTGGCGATTCCCTTGTAGAGGGCAGTTTCTGTCTTCTTCCTCCAAGTCACAGCATTGTTTTCTGGTTCTCAAACCATGCCCTCCTCAGCTGCCGGTTTTGAGATGCTGCAATGTGAAGGACCGGTCAGGACCCAGGACAGCAGCTGCGATACCCAAGAGGACTTGACCAACCCAAGGGAAGTTGACTTCCAGGTCAAGGGCTACACTTTCAGTAAACCCTTCCATCTGATTGTGTCTTACGGTGAGGTCTGGGAAAGGACTGACTTGTATAGGCCTTCTCTGTCTCCCATTTCCCAAACCTGCCTGTTTAGCCCACCAGCCCACTCAGGAAGGCGCCCCCAGGAAACTGGCCATGGGATGAGACACAGTAGCTCCCCCTGCCCCTTATCCATGGGGGATATGTTCCAGAACCCCCAGTGGATACCTGAAACTGCAGGGAGTACAAAAGTCTAAATATATTAAGTTTTTTCTAAAGTATATATTAGGCGCAGTAAGAGATCAGTGAGAGATTACCAACAATACCTAATAACAAAATAGAATATTTATAACAACGTACTATGGTAAAAGTTATGAGAATGGTCTCTCCCTCTCCCAAAATACCTTATTGTACTAATACTTACCTATCTTGTGATGATGTGAGATGATAAAATGCCTACTTGATAAGATAAGTGAGGGGAATGACATAGGCATTGTGATGTAGTGTTAGGCTACTATTGATCTTCTGATGATATGTCAGAAGGAGGATCATTTGCTTCTGGACTGCAGTTGACCATGGAAAGCAAAACTGTGGATAATGGGGGATTACTGTGCCTTCTTCCCCATATTCAGCCCAAAAGCCAGGGTTCCCTCAGTCTTAGGCCTTAGAGAAGTTGTTCTACATTCCCAACTAGGGGCGAGAATTACCTGGACCCTCAGAGAAAGCTTAGGGGGAGTCTATGTGGGTAGCACAGGGAACTCGCAAGGAAGGCAGTGGGTCACACTCAATTCTTGCTTTGGGCCACAGACTGGCTGATCCTCCAAGGTCCAGTCAGCCCTATATTTGAAGGAGACCCACTGATTCTACGCTGCCAGGCATGGCAAGACTGGCCACTGACCCAGGTGACCTTCTACCGAGATGGCTCAGCAATGGGTCCCCCTGGACCTAATAGGGAATTCTCCATCACTGTGGTGCGAGAGGCTGACAGTGGGCACTATCACTGCAGTGGCATCTTCAGGAGCCCTGGTCCCGGGAGCCCAGAAACAGCATCTCCCGTGGCTATCAAGGTCCAAGGTGAGAGCTGAAGGGAATGTCTTTGTGGCAGAAGCAGGTGGGGAGACACAGAGGGACCAAGACTGTCTTTCACTGGAGGTGGCAAGATCACCGAAGGCTAAGGAATGTGTTGCTGGCAAATGCCCAAGTTGGGCTTCAGGAGGGGCAGCATCTCAGCATTGCATGCTCAAGTCATTCAGCCCTCTACCCATTTAGTATGCTTCCCACAGCTCTATCCTACAGAGCCATGCTTCCCAATGTTCACTGATTGAGCGTCTGGACTATTGTCAGATTTGCCCATCTCTGGGTCTTTTCTAATCTTTTCTAGTTGAAGAGAGAGAAGATTTGAAAAGTTCAGATGCAGCTTTACTAAGAGTGTTCATTCCTGATGGAAATAGGGGGAGGAAAGTGTGGCTGGGTTCTTTACCTGGCATGGGTCCACCTGAATGTAGGATGGCTGAGCTCTTCTTTCTCACCTCTCTCTCCCTCAGAACTGTTTCCAGCCCCACTTCTCAGAGCCACCCCCTCAGCTGAGCCCAAAGAGGGGGACCCGGTGACCCTGAGCTGTCAGACAAAGCTGCCCCTGCAGAGGTCAACCGCCCGCCTCTTCTTCTCCTTCTACAAGGACAGCAGGACAGTGCGTGGCAGGGGCCTCTCCCCGGAATTCCAGATCCCCACAGTTTCAGAGGCACACTCTGGGTCCTACTGGTGTGAAGCAGTCACTGAGGACAACCAAGTTTGGAAACAGAGCTCCAAGCTGGAGATCCGGGTGCAGGGTAAGTTAGTGTGTATTTGTCTGGTGTGTATGAAAAGTGAGGGGAAGATTGGACCCATGAGCTGGGGTTTGGTATGGGCAAGTTAAGAAAGGACACAGAGGAGGCAAGAACAATAAGCCAGAGTCCCTAGGGATGGAAGAGAGCACAGATAGGGAACTTCTCCCTCAGACCACAGTGCACATCTCACCAAACCAAGAAAGACCCGAGCCAGCTCCACAGTTGCTGCCCCATAGACCTTATGCTCCCAACATGAACTCTGGGCATCTGCAGGAATATAGTATCTAGAGTGAAGATGAGGTAGTCTGGAGTTTATGTTCAGTTCAGGGTCCCCCAATTAAAAAAGTATGCATTTGACCTGAAATAATATATCCAGAAGAGGTGGTATCCAGGGTAATGAGGGGGCTTGAAGCCATGTCATAAGAAAAATAATGGGAGGGGAGTGGAAGATACTCATCTTGAAGAGGAGGTGACCCAAGGGGCCAATGGAGGTGTCCTCAAAACACTGAAGGCTGGTACAAAGATGAGGAATTACACTAATGTCATAGACAGTGAAGATGTTGACCTAGGACCAGTTACCACATCCACACTACAGGGAATTAGGTTCTGCCTTGATAGAGTAAGAATTGGCTAATATCTATAGCCCTGTAATGATGAAGCCTCATCACTGAGGATTTTCAAACTGTGGTAGCCAAGCCTCAGATTCAAATTTCAACCATGACGGAATCCTCAAACCTCTGCTGCCATTGGACTCCGTAGCCACTTTTCAGAAAACAAAGATAGATTGACCATGAATATGAGATTAGGGCCAGAGTCAGATTTCACTCTTATATGTGCCTCTTACCCCATAATGCAGGTCCCTCCAGCTCTACTGCATCCCCCACCTTGAATCCACCTCCTCGGAAATCAGCTGTTCCAGAATCTACTCCAACAGCCTCTCCTAGACTTCAGCCTCCACTGTCCACCCCTTCTAAGGATCCAGGCTTCTCTTCTCCTCTGCAGGTGCCAGACCCCCATCTGTATCACCAGATGGGCATTCTTCTCAAACAAATGCAGGATATGAGAGCTCTCCTTGGTCACCTGGTCATGGAGCTGAGGGACTTATCTGCCCTCCTGAAGCTTGAGACCACAAAGGGTTCTGCCAAATATGAGTAAATAATTCATTTGCAGTATTGCTCAACTACTCCCAATAAATTCAACTTTTTCTACTTTTCCTCTTTCTGTCCTATATATACCCATGAATAGTCTTACAAATTGCCCAGTATTTTGTTAGAGTAACTGAGATGGATGAGTGTAAATAAATGTGCACAAAGTGATCCTCAGAATTTAACTATAATTTTATATTCTCTCATAACATGACATAACAACCCTGATCTCTCTAGACCAGGAGTTGCCTTCTTTTGCCCAGACCAGAATCTGGCGATTGAAAGAAAATCAATGAGATGGATTTAATGCAGCAGTCTCAATTGGAGGCAGTCCTGCCCCTCCACCAAAGGGGACATTTGGCAATGTCTAGAGACCTTTTTGGTCTTCACATTGTGGGGTTGGTGCTACTGGAATCTAGTGAGTAGAAGCCAAGGATGCTGCTAAACATGAGGTAACACACGGACAGCCCCCACAACAAAGGATTATCTGGCCCAAAATGTCAGTAGTGCCGAGATTAAGAAACTTCAACCTTGTGGAAGTTAGGTGTTAGACTCTGGGGTGGACCTTTGCCTCTTCTACTTGCTGCCCCCTCCAGCATCATTCAGCAAATATTAATTACAAATTGGTATTTTGTTGGCCTCTACTACACATCAAAGTTTGTGCTGTGTTAAGTATACTCCTAAGATAGTGTCTCTGTCTATAGAGAGTATAGACTTTGGGATAGAGGAGCAGTAATAACCCTTTTCCATAAAGCAATAAAAGCGGGGTATGTAAAAATTTCCCACAGGATCCTACTAGACTCAGAAATATATATGATCAAGCATAACATTGCCAAAACAGTAATTATTGGTTTTAATATACTTGTCTCTGAGATATTTTTCTTTAAAGATGTACATAAGTCTGTTTTGGTACCATAATAATGCTTCCTTCTATGTTTGGACTGCCGTGTTTGGACTGACATTCATAGCCAATGAAAGACAGCTTGACAGACTCTACAGTAACCTTTGGTCAATGAGTTTGCACACCATTTTATAATGACCTCAGCCAGTGAGCATTCTACCATGTTATCCTAAATCATGTGGTATGATGTTATCCACCATATTCTTTCTTTGTGCCATTTATTTTGTGCAATACTGACCTACAGTGATTTACAAAAATATGCATGTGATGACATGCCACAAAGAAACAAAGGAATAGAATCATGCTGGATATTAAAACTTGAGTTTTATGGGGCGCCTGGGTGGCTCAGTTGGTTAAGCGACTGCCTTCGGCTCAGGTCATGATCCTGGAGTCCCAGGATCGAGTCCCGCATCGGGCTCCCTGCTCGGCAGGGAGTCTGCTTCTCCCTCTGACCCTATCCCCTCTGATGTGCTCTCTCTCTCTCATTCTCTCTCTCTCAGATAAATAAATAAAATCTTAAAAAAAAAAACTTGAGTTTTATGGTGGTTCCTAATACGTTCAAGGGGAAGGATCAGGAGGCAGTTGGGAATTGGTAAAAGTCCATAAACATCTTTGCAGCCTGAGAGGATCAACTCACAACTGTGTGAATGGGAGTTGTAAGAAAGGATGACCAGAGGTATTTCATGACTTTGGTGAATTTGAAAACATGGAAGCTCAATTGCCAGAGGACCATGCTGGGTATACTTCTAAAGATACTCTGTTAGAACCATTCCACATGGAGTTGATTTCAGCTAGTGGTACCATTGTCATGAATGCATCCTGCAAGCTCTCATGCTGAACAAGGAATTCATGTACAGATTATAAAAGCTATCAGAGATCCAGGAAGGAAGTCATGGATGCAGCTAACTGAGATAAGTGTCAGCTCTGCACTCCTCATCCATGTGTCTCTATCATCACACTGCATCTGAATTTTTTATTATCTTATTTCTCTTCACTGGAGAGTGAGCCCTATGAGAGCTCCTTGAGTTCTTTGTGCCACATTGATTCTTTGGTTTGTAGTTTAATGAGGCATAGTTAAGCTCTAAAATTCTGTTTTGTTGAATTGAGTTGGGCCAGCATAAGGGAAGGTATCTTGAGGAAGATGGAAATGAAGCTGGACCTTAGAGGATGAGTGGCATGTCCGGCATCACCAAAATCTCCAGACTCTGCCCAGGGGACCCAGCCTAGTCAAGTACTTGGAAGTCTCAAGGAGAGGATCTTTCATCATCAGGGGTGAGGAAGGCAAAAAACAAAGCTGAAAGAATGTGGGGGAGGAGATTTTACTTGTCTCCATCGGCCCCTCTAGCCTGGGGAATTTGGAGGGGGTGGGGAACATGAATTGTTACACGGGGTCAGGTTTATGGCCTGTACAGCTGAGGATTCTGTAATCCACAGAGGTCCCAGTGCACCATGTTAGATTTTGTTTCTGAAGCCAATGTTAGATAGCAAGCACATCCATTATCTTGTAAAGTTGAAGCCAATGCCTGGGTGTCTATGCCCCAAATAAATTTTAGTGTATGTGTCAGAAGACAAGTATAATCATGTTCATAATAACACTACCTGTAAAAGCAAAATTTGGGGATCAATTCAGTTGTCCACCAATAGAAAAATGGATAAATTGTGCTGTTTTCACAGAGCAGAATACCATACAACAGTAAAAGTTAATAAACCATAGCTACAATGAAACAACATAAAAAATATCAGGAATATAACATTGAGGGGAAAAGGCAGATCCCAGAAGATATCACATAGTAAGATGCCCTTTATACAAAGTTTAAAAACAAGTACAAGAATATGTTGTTTAGGCATTTACACATACGTAGGATAAACCTTCTTAAAAAGCATGAACATTGGAAACACCAAGGTCAGGATAATAGTTACCCTCGAGGGGCTGATTGGGAAGGACCACGAGGGAGGAACACATAAGTAGACATAAATTATTAGTAATTTTTAAAATCTCCTCTGAGTAGGAACTTAGGCTTCCTTTAAATATATATATTTCTCTAAATCTTCCAATTCCTGTGTGTTTTCTGCCTTTATCTTTTCTTAGAGGTAATAAAAGCCAAGTTTATTACCTACTATGTGGAGTTCTTTCCTTTATTGATCCTCAAGTAACCATTCCAACCTGTTATAGACTGCACCAATGTACCCTCAGTACGGCTGGATTTGGTGAACCTTTGTTTGCTGACCTGAAAGTCATGACTGTGTGTGTTTCACACATTTTCCCCAGCCTTAATCAGCTCAGACAAAATAGCTAACTTTTTTCAATACTGAAGAACCTTCATTTAATTTGACATTTATGTACGGAGTATTGTGTTGTCAGAAAAAAAGAAGGTGTTATAGGAAGAAAAGAATATAAATTTAACATGATCTCTGCTCTCAAAGAAGAATTCAACTGAAGTTTATAAAGTCTAAGTTGATTGTGCTACATGTTCCTTTATTCTGTTATACGTCTGTGGGGGAAAGAAACAACAGCACAATGAAGGAAACAGTAAGCAGAATGAAAAGGGAACCTAGATATGGGAGAAAATATCTGCAAACCATATATCTGATAAGGCATTAACATCCAAAATATATAAGGGACTCCTAAAATTAAGTAGCAAAAAACCCCCAAATAACTTGATTTAAAAATGGGCAAAGGACCTGAATAGACATTTCTCAAAATAAAACCAACAAATGGGCATCAAGTATGTGAAACATCACCAGTCATCAGGGAAATGCAAATCAAAACCACTAGGAGATATCACCACACACCTGTGAGAATGGCTAGTATCAAAAAGACAAGAAGTAACAAGTGTTGATGAGAATGTGGAGGAAAGAGAGCCCTGTGCACTGCTGGTGGGAATGCAAACTCGTGCAGCCACTGTGCAAAACAGTATGGGGGTTCCTCAAAAAATTAAAAATAGTACTATCTTATGAGGGGCACCTGGGTGGCACAATGGGTTAAGCAGCCAACTCTTGATTTTGGCTCAGGCCATGATCTCAGGATCGTGAGATCGAGCCCCTTGTCGGGCTCTGCGCTCAGTGAAGAGTCTGCTTGAGATTCTCTCTCTTCCTCTCCCTCTGCCACTGCCCCTGCTCTCTCTCTCTCTCTCTTTCAAATAAAGAAAAAAACTTAAAAAAAAAAAAAAGAACTGGGGCACCTGGGCAGCGCAGATGGTTAAGCGTCTGCTTTGGGCTCAGGTCATGATTTCCGGGTCCTGGGATCGAGCTCCCTGCTCAGTGAGGAGTCTGCCTCTTCCTTCCTCTCTGCCCCTCCCTGCCCCCGACCTGTGCTCTCTCTCTCTCTCTCAAATGAATAAATAAAATCTTAAAAAAAAAAAAAAAAAAGAACTATCTTATGAACAGGAATCTCACTTCTGGGTATATATTCAAAGGAAATGAAGTCAGTATCTCAAAGAGATATCTGCACTCCCATGTTCGATGCAGCACTATTCACAATAGCCAAAGTATAGAAATAACCTAAATGCTAAATGTCTATCAAAAGATGAATGGATGAAGAAAATGTGAGATTTACGTATGTATGTGAAAATCCTGCCATTCACAACAACATGGATGAACTTGGAAGACATTCTGCTAAGCGAAATAAGCCAGATACAGAAAGACAAATATTGCATGATCTCATTTATGTGTGGAATCTAAAATAGTCAGATTCAGAAGTAGAGAAGAGAATGGTGGTTGTCAGAGGCTGGGAGAGAATGAGAGAGAGAGAGAAAGAGAGAGAATGAAGAATTGCTTCATGAGATTATAGAAACTGAGAAGTCCCATGATCTGGCATCTGCAAGCTGGAGACCCAGGAAAATATAATTCAGTCTGAGTCCAAAGGCCTGAGAAGCAGGAAAGCTGTTGGTGTAAATCCCAGTCCAAGGACCGGAGAAGATGAGATGAGATATCCCGGCTCAATCATAGATGCAGGGAAACAAAGGGGGGTGGGCAAATTCCTCTTAACTCTGGCTTTTGTTCTAAAAGAGAAAATAATACCTAGGACACAATACCGTTTATGTAAATCAATAACACGAGACATTTCTCAGGGGTAAACCCATGTGTGTGTACAGGCACATCCGGTAAGTGTCATGCTGGATGCGCGCTCGTGTGGAGCAGAGGAGAAGGGTAGTGTGGATAGAGGTAA